ATATAGAACAACCGTTTCCGAGCCTAGAAGCAGCAGAGTCTTATCAACGTTTCAACCCCATAATTGACTGGGTTACCAGAAAGATGCACTTTTGTTGGGATCAACTTCTATGAGCAGTCAAGACCCTTGCTAGCAATATTCTGGAATACCTGGAAAAATTCCTCTCGGTATTCAATAAAAGCACAGCAGAACGGTTACCAGAGAGAAAACCCTGGGATCATGCAATCGATCTAGAAGCAGGTTTTAAACCCTAATGAGAAAAGGTTTACCCGCTATCACCAGCCAAACTTAAAGAGTTGGATACCTTCATCAAGGAAAATCTATGGAAGGGCTACATTCGCCCATCAAAGTCTTCTATGGCATCTCCATTCTTCTTCATCAACAAGAAATCTGGAGATCTCCGACCATGCCAGGACTACAGGAAACTCAATGACGCCACTATATCAAGAGTAGAAGATCTTTTAGATCGCATTGCTACCACCAAGCCAACAATATTCACCAAACTTGACTTGTGCGCAGGATACAACAATGTGCACATCAAAGAAGGTAATGAATGGAAGGGAGCATTTATCACACCAAGAGGATTATTCGAACCAACTGTCATGTTCTTCAGAATGACAAACTCACCAGCCACATTTCAAGCCATGATGGATGGCATCTTTGCAGATCTACTACTAGAAGGATGGCTAGTAATCTATATTGATGACATCCTCATCTACTCTACCAATTACTCGGAACACCGGCAACGCGTTCAATTAATCCTTCAGTGGTTAAAAGATTCAGATCTCTTCCTCAAACCTGAGAAATGCTTCTTTGACGTATCAGAAGTGGAATTCCTAGGATTCATTCTCCGACTGGGACAGATAGGAATGGCAGAAGATAAAGTATCAGCAGTACTAAATTGGTCAAAAATTGACAGCGTTAAAGTACTTCAACGGTTCTTAGGATTTGCCAACTTCTATCGTCAATTCATCCCAGGGTACTCCAGAGTAGCACAACCCCTATTCAATCTACTAGTCAAGGGAATCAAGTGGAGTTGGACTGATGATCACGACAAAGCCATCAATCAACTCAAGGAATGTTTCAAAACTCAACCACTCTTGGTACAACCTGACATCACCAAACCATTCAGGATAGAATCTGATGCCTCTCTAAAGGCATCTGGCGGCATTCTTTCACAGAAACAATCTGATGGT